TATATTATAAAAAAAAAATGTGGATTGGAGCGAGCCAAAACATTTTTAGTTATTTTTACTTTACATTTTTTTTCTTAGCTCAAAACATAAGTAAATAACAATAAATATAATAGATTAAAATAAATAAATCACTAGATTTAAAATAGCTGATTGAAATCGTGGTTTGATTGATTAAACCCTATAAAGAGTCACACTGAGAAAGCTAAATTAAAAGCTATGTGATATGGTGCAATTCTCGTCATTGTAGATAGTGCAATTCGCCATTAAACAACGTTTAGTTCCAATAACCATCAGTTATTCCACGGGCGCACGGTTTTCAGTCGTTATACGTCTTTTTTCCTGTTAACATGACAGCGTACAACCATTTACGACCAGTTAGAACGCAATTACCGAACGTATTATATCGATTCAACTCACATTACCGTAAACTACGTGAAAGATTAAACGAGGATTTTTCATTTTCTATCGAACAACAACGAATACACGCCTATAAGAAACACGTTATTATTATCTTTTTCGATATAATTATTTAATTAAACGTTACTGATGGATTATTTATTGTCGTAATACAAGGATACTTTAAATTATCTTTTTTCTTAATTGGTTTCCTTGGTATCATTTGTAACATATTTTTGTTATTGTGCAAATTGCTTATTAATCATAGCTTAGATATAAGAAGTAAATTAATTTTTTTAACCACTATGGTAGAACATTTTTCTACTTTCAACTATAATTCCGTTTCGTTGTCCTTGTTTCTTTGCCATTTTACGTGGTTGCGAAATTTTCTACCGTGTAGGTATTGTTTGGTGTTTTAAAAATGACCATACCACCAAGAGAAAAAGTTATCTCGTAAAAGGTCATATTGTTGTATGTAGATAAAGAGTTGATTTATTTGCAAGTAAAACGTTAAGACGGTGCTGAGGATTAAAAAAAACTTAAAAATTGACGAAGATGAGAAGAGCGTTGTATGGACGCGCCTTAAGGCAAATTTCGCGGATGACGCGATCTTCGTCGTCCCACAGTTATTAATCGACGGCGTCGCGTAAATTTATGCCCGGCGACGTCTGCGCGGTCACAACAAATAATAACCTGAGTTATCGTTGCAATTAATACCTCTATTAATTTATGCTGCGCGTTTATCCGATGTTTTGTTTTTCCTTATGGCACACGACGGCGGCCAATTTATATTCAAATGTGCCATAGGTTCGTTACAAAACGCGGGAGTGAATACCGATAAGAACACCTTTTGCCATTTTCATTCACTTCAACGGTGTCAACTTCACCTTCATAGGATTCTTATTAACTCAACAATGAACAATTACGATTCATTATACGGTATGAAGTGCGTGTAATTTTTCACCACAGAGATGATTAAAAAAGATTACTGAAATGTCTAAAATGTCACTACTAATAAAGAAGGATTATCGTCTTTTAATTTTTTTATATAGTCTTATAGCCATTTTGGATGAGCACATCTGAATCGCAAATGATGATCGCCATTACCGGTACCACCGGATGTAGGCGGTGAAACGTTCCTGGAATCCCGCCGAATAGAAGGCGTTACACAACTCTATTTTTTTTTTTCGTTTCCTTTTCATTTTTGCCGCGACGGTGAATTAGATTCTTATCGGACTACTTTGCTTACTCGGAAAGACCAAAGACGATTTATATAGTGAGACCAATCCTTTTATTAAACGTAACGTAATTAATGGTTTAGCGGTGGCGACATGCGTAATTTATCTCGCTGGCCAGCCCACTTCAATAACTCAATTATTATCCCCTTTATTATTAATTAAATCCATCGATGACTATACTACGTTGTTTTATTTTTTTTCTTTTAATCATCTGCATTTATACATATATCAAGGTTTAAATGAATATGTTACATTTGTACAAATGATTTATTAAGAATTTGGTCCACGAAACGAATATTAGTGGAACAATTATTATTTTCTGGTAGAAAAATAAATTTTAAATTGAAAATATAGAGTAACATTTTCTTCTGTTGGCTTTCGTTTTTGAGATATTTCCTTTTAAATCCATCAATGTCGGTGTTTTTTTTTGCAAAAGTAAGACTTTCAGGACAAATACATCAAGAACGAAGGCTAATATGAAAAAATATGATTCTTCTTTTCCGATTTAAAAATCATTTTTCTACTCGATTAACTCCTACGTCTCTCTTTTAAAATGATTATTAATAAACACCAGCCGAAAAATATAATAGAAATGTGACTTTTAAAGGTTAAGTTATATTTGTACATCTCCTGATTCATTCAGATGATTTATTGAGAATCTGTGATATAATTTTCTGGTAAAAAAATAAATTTTAAATTGAAAATAAAGAGTAACATTTTATTCTATTGGCTAGCGTTCTTGAGATATCCCCTTTTAAATCCATCAATGTCGGTGTTTTTTTTCTAAAGTAAGACTTCCAGGACAAATACATCAAAAACGAAGGCTGATATGAAAAAATGTGATTCTTCTTTTTCGATTTAAAAATCATTTTTCTAGTCGATTAACTCCTACGTCTCACTTTTAAAATGATTATTAATAAACACCAGCCGAAAAATATAATAGAAATGTGAGTTTTAAAGGTTAAGTTATATTTGTACATCTCCTGATTCATTCAGATGGTTTATTGAGAATCTGTGAGATAATTTTCTGGTAGAAAAATAAATTTTAAATTGAAAATAAAGAGTAGCATTTTATTCTATTGGCTAGCGTTCTTGAGATATCCCCTTTTAAATCCATCAATGTCGGTGTTTTTTTTGCTAAAGTGTAACTTCCGAGGCACATACATCAAGAACGAAGGCTGATATGAGAAAATGTGATTCTTCTTTTTCGATGTAAAATTCATTTTTCTATTCTATTAACTCCACCGTCTCTCTTTAAAAATGATTATTAATAAACAACATCCAAAAAAGCTGATAGAAATGTGAATTTTATAAGATTACGTTATATTTTATTACCTCCTGATTCATTCAGATGATTTATTGAGAATCCCTAAAATCATTTTCTGGTAGAAAAATTAATTTTAAATTGAAAATAAAGAGTAACATTTTATTCTATTGGCTAGCGTTCTTGAGATATCCCCTTTTAAATCCATCAATGTCGGTGTTTTTTTTGCTAAAGTGTAACTTCCGAGGCAAATACATCAAGAACGAAGGCTGATATGAAAAAATGTGATTCTTCTTTTTCGATGTAAAATTCATTTTTCAATTTGATTAACTTCTACGTCTCTCTTTAAAAATGATTATTAATAAACAACATCCAAAAAAGCTGATAGAAATGTGAATTTTATAAGATTACGTTATATTTTATTATCTCCTGATTCATTCAGACGATTTATTGAGAATCCTTAAAATCATTTTCTGGTAGAAAAATTAATTTTAAATTGAAAATAAAGAGTAACATTTTCTTCTATTGGCTTTCGTTCTTGAGATATTTCCTTTTAAATCCATCAATGTCGGTGTTTTTTGCCAAAGTGAGACTTTCAAGGCAAATACATCAAGAACGAAGGCCGATATGAAAAAATGTGGTTCTTCTTTTTTGATTTAAAAATCAGTTTTCTATTCGATTAACTCCTACATCTCTCTTTAAAAATGATTATTAATAAACACCATGCGAAAAATCTAATAAAAATGTGAATTTTTCAATCAAAGTTCAAGTTCTTTCTTTGACACAACATTGGTGGAGTGTAGAATTAATGTCATTCTGATCTTAACAATTTAAAACAAGCTGTTTTCAAGATCAACTTACGTAAAGTGCAAATATTTTAACTTCTGAAGTGATAACGTGACGTTTACCGCCTCGGTGCTCTGAATTATTAATGTGCAATCGAAACATCACAAAAAAGAAAATCAAATACAGAAACTGAAATATATATAGCAATGGTCCATTTAGAGAGCTTTCATGCTTTTCTCATTAATGAGTGACCTATTCATTAATTGTGACTAATTTTATCTGCAGAAAAAGAATCATTTTACGTCCTTCGTACGTTATTCTCAAAGTACAGGTAAAGTGATGCACAAAAATATATGCATTCATTTTCCTTCTACTTAAATTACCATTACTAAGAAATGTAAATGTTTAAATTAAAATAAAAATTTATAAATAATATCCTCCTACCGAACCTTGTAAACGAGTACCAGAAGTCAACAATTTGATACGACTACCCATTATGTAATTACACGATTGCACGCGTATAAAATTACCCATAACCACCGACCGCCAGCAGCGTACGGGGCAAAAAGCGCGCAAGAAACGACGACGGGCGTCCGGCTTTCCTCTGTCTCCGTGTATCATATACGGGCTCGGTTCGTATATCTTATGGTAATTTCCAGGTAAAATGCGCACATTACAATTTGTCTCCCGGCTCGACACAGCCGCGTAGTATCAAAACTAAAAAAAAGTAGCTAAAGAATAAAAAACTCCTCCTGGTGTGATATATTAACGGCCCATTAACATGGTAAACTGCTTCAAGGTAAATTTAATTTGAGAGCTAACTGCAACTATGTGCACGTGTTTTAATACTTACTCTAGATTAATTCGAAACCATCCAATAAAATAATAATTTTAATTGATGTAGAGTAAAGTACTAAGTAAATGCTTGTGGTCGGTTAAGTTTTAATTACTTCGTTCTAGTTGTTGGCCAGACAATGCATTTAACCCTCCGTATACGAGGTGATGACATACCCCGGAAGTAAAATACTATTTCTATAAAATTTTACGTAGAACACGATTTTTCAGTTTTCCTGAAGCTGTAAGAAGTATGCGGAGGGTTAAGGTTGCTAAGAATAAAGACATAAATTGATAGAACAATCAGATCATTCTGTATTAAGGTCGTGAAATGAGTTGCATCTAAATCGTAGCTGAGGCTATACTTGCTCAAGGCTGCTAAAGATAATTCATCAACTGTACTTTAATATATTTACTCTCCTATATTGTCGGTACATAAATATGACAATTCAATAAAGGGGTTAACAATTAAAATGACTCACCGACAATGACGACATGACCAAAAGAATTGGGATTATTGATCGCGGTGCAGTTCCACCTATGATGTCTGAACTGGTGCATGCACTCGTTCGTTGCCATTTTGATACCGTCACCGACTGCCGCCATAGCATCCGGCGACTCCCGGCACATGTCCTTTTGTTGGGGTGTCAAACCTGGCACGCGATTGCAAATTACCTCGGCGCCGAGCGCCACGACCCCACACACCACCCTATAACAAAAACAGAAATAAATTAAATAAAAAAAAAACTTTAAAATTGACTTCACAAATAAATCAAAACTGAATCTAAATAATTACAGTCGAACCTTCTGATTGTGAGTGAATTATTCGAAATAAAATCAAATACATTTTCGGAAGGCGTCCGAGCGTGCAACGATAAAAGTGTCAATAAACGTAACACTTAATTACGATGGCGCCAAGAAAGACTCGTTCAAGACTGAAATACGAGATAGAGGAGGAAAACGAGCGCCATAACGCCGAAACGTGCAAATCATTCGTATTAATAAATAAATATCGTGCCGAGCGGGTCGATACGGGCCAACTAACGGGTATATTTACGGGAACAGGTCCGACAACTCCATTAGAACCGCATGAAGCAAACACGAATTTAAATCCAAACGAAATATTAAAACTCGTTTGTACTCGTCCGCCCTCTACACGAATCTAATTTTGTACGATGTGTCCGTTCTTTTTATCATTTGCTTACATGCCCCATGCAGTGTCAAAAGTGTCCAATGATTTAGATGAGGGTGAGTTTTTTTTATAGGACCACCCAAAGATGAATGTCAGTAAGATCATTTTTCATCTTAGAAATCAGTTTTGTACATAGAAAGGTTTATTTAAAATCAAAATATATATACACTGCGTCAATGAAGCCTTTTTATGACATAAATGCAGGAAAATACACTTCTAACGTAATGAAAAAACCTCATACAAGACTAAAGTTTTAAGTAAAAAGAAATGTTTTATGTCTTTGTTTTACTTAAATGGATCTTGAACAAATTAACACAGTTTTTGTTGAATACAAATCTTAGTAGTGACAATAGTTTTATAACATCAACTTCTAATTCACAATAAGTAAAACACAGATTGACACATCCACTACTTCCTTACTTCCTTTACTTTAGACCAGTATGGTTGTACTATAAGTAGTGTCCGGCCAAAATATGAGATTCAGTCAAAAATCGACCGAACCTTAGTCAAGAACCGAAACTTTGTTCCTCTAGTCTCGGGTGCTATTCGTCTATTCTCGTATCTGCTTTGGCTTGCGCGTACGGAAGTTTTATCAAGCAAGATTAAACAAGTTGTTTGTGTAGGTGCGAGAAAAGAAAGAGAGAAAGACGAAAAACGAGTTGGGATTTCTACGACAAAAGCACTGCTGACTTGTCAAAAGCCATATGTAAACTTTGCAAAAAACTTTATTCTTTGTGGAGTAACGAATCAAAAAAACAAACATATAATATTAATTAACTTTCCATTATAAGTGTAAGCATTATTACGTGTAGTTTAACAAAAAGCAAGCATTATTTTTTTCTTAACAATAAATCTACTTATATTTAAATAATATCATAAATATCATCTGTGTCTTATTTTAGTAGAAAGAATTGTGACTAACTTATGATTTCTCTGCAAAGTATACATAAAATTCTAGTATAATGATTATACCGTTTATATTATTTATTGGAACTTTACAGGGTTGCTATTAGGCGAATGGGACAACATTATCGATAAGGTGATTTTTAAATAAAAGCAAAAAAGGGGTAGTTTACCCCATGCAACCCTCTGGCACATGTGTGATACATCAATGGAAAGCTCTTTAAAAATGCATACATATCAGTTTATATACAGGTGTCTCACGTAACTGGTTCGTTAAAACTTTTATAGGTTCCAGTATTCGTACAGTTTTGAAATTTTGGTAGTATGGGTTGTTCAGTCGGAACTTTCGATCTAAAATATTTTCAAGATGGCTACCACTTCCGGTCTACCGGAAATAGACCATAACTTCGTTATTTTAAATGGAATGCTATAGTTTTTATTGCACCTTTTAATTGTACGTAAAAAAATATGTTGACTTTCATAAACGTTATTGGTAACTAACGTTTTTGGTTTTCGAGTTATTTTGATTTTAAGGTTTTTTTGGCAAATTTCACCATGTACTTTAAAACCCTATATCCCAGCCAACGTTCATTCAAAAAAGCTCTAAATTGGCACGATTACTCGTCAGATGCTCTCAAATAGATTGTCATATATTGTATCAGAGTATCTTATACAGGATGGTCAAAAATTGAATTACCGTTTCTCCATATTCAATGGGGAGAAAGTCGAAAATTTTAAATGGAACACCCTATATTTTATTAGCCTACACGAAAGGGAATTTAATTCTCTACAATTTATCTATAAACATTCCTATACTTATTTATTGTAGTTTCTCTCATATTCGTAAATTTATCAAAACATGCAGAAAATGCAGGAAACCGTTTGTATTTTTATTAGAAGGCCATAACATTTTGACAGTTTTTTGTTTAATTTATTTCTATTATTATTTGTACTATCAACTACAATTGATAATCTTTTAGTTTACTAGCTTTTACTTACCAAAAATAACAAACAGAAGATCAAATAAATGAAACTATTAAAACAAAAAGTTAATGACAAAAATTAGATTTGAATAAAAATATAAATTTATAATATAAATTTGTTATTAAATTGAATTTGGAAATGCAATAAAATACGTTAAATTATTTATTTCGTTGTCTTCATCACTGGTGACCGGAAATATGCGATTTCTTTTGGTCTCGATATATCCAGAACTAATAAATTCTTTATCAATTTTTTGAAATTTTTCCTTGTGATGGGCGTTAGGTTTGTTAGGCATCTCTCATTAAGTGTTCGACACGTCTTGTCCGAAAGTTTATTACATTCGCCATCAATACAAAATAAATTTCAAATATCGGCGTTGGAATAATTTACCATGATGTTCAATAACTTACACCCGTCGTCAAATGTAACTAATGGCAACAATAATACAAACATGGACCAAAAACTGTCAACATTCCATAGCTTTCTAATAAAAAAACCTGCATTTCGTGCATGTTTTAATAAATATCGCAATATGAGGCAAACTACAATAAATAGGTATGGGAATGTGTATAGGTAATTTGTAGAGAATTAGATTCTCTTCCTGATAGCCTAAAAAAATATGGGGCGTTCCATTTAAAATTTTCGACTTTCTCGCCATTGAATATGGAGAAACAGTAATTCAATTTTTGACCACCCGTTGTATAAGATACTCCGATACAAATGGCAATCTATTTGACAACATCTGAAGAGTAATCGTACCAAAGTAGATCTTTTTTGAATGAACTTTGGCTGAGATATGGAGTTTTAAAGAGTATGTTGAAATTTACCAAAAAAGGTTTAAAACCAAAATAACTCAAAAATAAAAAACCTAGGTACCAATAACTTTTATCAAAGTCAACCTATTTTTTTACGTACAATTAAACTGTGTAATAAAAACTATAGCATTCCATTTAAAATAGCGAAGTTATGGTCTATTTCCGGTAGACCGGAAGTGGCGGCCATCTTGAAAACATTTTAGATCGAAAGTTCCGAATATACAACCCATGCTACCAAAATTTCAAATCTCTACGAATAGTGGAAGATGAAAAAGTTCTAACGAACCAGTTACGTGAGACACCTGTATATAACATGACTTTTGACAAAAAAAAGTATTTATAAGTTATTTAGTTTTGGCCAGCAACGCAGTGTGTATTAATTGAAAAGTATTTAACGAAACTTTAACATCACGATAAAACCATAAGATGAGATTAAGTTAGTTACATAATATCTAATAACAAAGAAAATATATTAAAATTTCTTCTATTTCTTTATCGATTTAACAATCTTAAAAGATGATTCATTCAAGAATATCATATCCGAGACTGTATATGGCATGAAGATCATTTCTTCTCATTTAATCCTCTAAGCGAGTAAAACGTAATGTAGCAACAAATGGACGTCTCGATGTGGCCAGGCTTCTTCGTTTAATAATAATAAGATACAATCGGCACGGCTATAAAGCATCGTTCGCTGCCAGCAAGAATGTAAACAGAACGACACGATAAATAATGCGTACCGAGCTTGCGGATATTTTTGCTATTTCGCTTTTAGAAGGTTTTCATTCCTCTAAGCTGGCTTATGATGCTTTTTAATGCCCATAATTTTCGCATTGCTTCATTCACACCGCGAACTTGCACATAAATCAAAACCGTTTACCGGGGCAAAATGCGTGCGACCGTACGATCGAACACTTGCGACTTGTTCTACACGTTTAGCAATGTTGCTCTATGTCACCGATAAATCATTCTTGTTGACCGCGTATGTTAATATCGTGACAACTGAAATACACCGAAACGGTGAAAAGAACTTGTTTATGGTTAGTTGGAAATTTGTAAATCAAAATAGTTGGTTGAGATGAAGACATTTCAATCTAAACTGTTTTAGCATAGTTCATTAATTTCATTTTAATAAGAATATGATGGTATAAAAAGGTAATTATCTTAATCTAAAGATAGAAAGATTCGATCCCATCGATATTCTAATTATCTCAAAAAAAATTTTTTCTTTCATTTTAAATATTTCCTTAACAACATAATCGTTGGTGTTGGAACCGGAGGGACTACCATATTCAGGTCGATCGGTCGGTTACAAACATCCAGTGAAGAACTCAACCTTGACAGAGGTCCCAGTAAGCTGTAATTTTCGTCGATGCACGTTCATTAGTTTCTCGTTTACCGAAGAAGAACTCGTTTCGTTAACTCCACATATCTCAACCTCAACCTTTTCACTTTGACAGCTACATTTAAAGTAGAACACCAGAAAGAAAGGTCTATCCGGGAACACTTTGTATAATTTAATATGTATATATGGGTCGGTGTAATAACAATAAAATTATTTAGTCGTCGTTTTACAAGTTATTATTAAAACGGTATGAATTAGTACTGCTTAAGAAGCTGAATAGAGCTCATAACGTGAACCTTAGTGAAACTGTGACAGCTGGAGTCGTTAAGCTGACAAAGTGTCTTTTGTGATGACGCGCGGCCCATAAACGTAGAATATAACAAGAGTAGTTATACAGTTTGCGACGCTCGGCTACAGAGAACAAGTTCGGAAATTGCGAAAATGCACATTAAGACGTAACAAAAGAGATT